GATGAATAAGAACATTTCCCAATGGCATGTGCAAGCCAAGTCTAAAGTGTGCTATAATCAAAATTGACATTTAACTACCATCATTATCTCTTGATTAGCTAACATTGATATCTATATAATTAAAAGTCATTAACTTCGATACTCTTTAATCTGAACGCTTAGACTAATAAACTTAAAAAGGAGTATAGTTTTCAACTAAATCAAAAACTTTAACTAGCGTGGTATAGTAGTCGATATCTAAGTTGAATTTTACCCAAATAAATAATGATATTCTTGTTTACAATATCTCAAAAGTTGAATGACAGTAGAGTTACAAAAAAAAAAGGTTAGAAATTTAAGTTAATTAGAATCTAGTCAACAGAAAACGGATAAGTTTCAAGTAAAGCTACTCTTGAATTTAGTTTCAACTACTAATCCCGAATTGTAATGATATCAAAAGTGCCAAAAGTCTCTTATGTTATTGAAGAACACGCCTTGGAATCTTCAAAATTCCTCAAGAAGTTGTTGACAAGTTTTACCAAAAGGCATACTTATATATTGATTGATGAATTATTAAGCAATTACTACTATAAGTTATTTTCTTATTCACCAAAAGTATATGTTATTCTATAAGTAAGATAGGAAGACTTTGCTATAAGCAATATGAAAATCTATATACAGTATGTGGTTAAATGTGTGTGGCACTTTGTTAGGTGAGAGAGCATTAACTGCTTTACTTAGACTAGATAAACTCTTCTTCTTGTTTCCTTCTCTGATGGGTCTCTATATCTAATTACTATAAGCTAGTTTCTATCTATATCCATGCAAAAACTCCTCATACACGTCATCGATGTGTAAAGCATTTTTATGTTCAAAGATAGGTAGATTCCAAATCTTGGTCGGTCTAAATTTAAGATATGTTAAGGTTATCTAGAATGAGCAAATGCTTTTTGAAATTTCAGACTTCCTTTTTATATGAAAAGAGATCTTAAAGAATATGAAACATTGACATACTTAGAAATTTCATGGACTGACGTGTTGAAACACAAATGGTTTTTGGCCCCATGCATTCGACAAAAACATTATTAAATTACCATCTATGGAATAGCTTTAGAACGTCCACTTTCTGATTATTAGTCTTCAATTTCCTCCAAATTTATATGAAATGATTTTATCATACTATGCATCGTGTTCTTTATAAACAAGAAAATAAAAAAAATAAAAATAAAAATAATACTTCAGTTGTGATGTAAAAAGGAATATTATGCATAAACAAAATTGGAAATGATTTTTTAATTTTATAGTTTGTTTGTAGAAGCTCTGATAAGAAGTTGAAGTTCAAAGACTCGTATGAAGACTTCGTCAATGTATCTTCTAACAAATAATGGTATAAAGAAAATAATAAACGACCAAAACCTCTTCCAACAAATTCCCCAACAAACCTTTAATTAGTACGAGTAGTTAGCATTTATTTTCTGAGTTTTCAAATTTTATAATTCTATGTCTTCTGTTAATTTATATATAGTTTTGGTGAGCCTCAAAATTATATGATAACAATTTCGTATCGGTTGCACGATCCAACTTTTTAAAAAATACAATGCTAAAGTAACGATGAACATAATTCATTATTCATGATATTAATTATTGCTAAAGAGTATGTGTATATACACATATCATAATTTGCTAAAAAATAAATATTTATAACAAAGGTATTAAGTACACCTACGCACATATTATCATTTATCAGTCACAATATTTGTGGTTTGTATTGGCAACTATAGTTTTTTCATGTAATTATGATAGGTAAAGTACTTTTAGATTGAATTATGATGACGCAAGTGCATGCATGATTAATTATACTTGTAAGCATAATCAGGATGAGATCTACAAAGATAGACCACAACACAAGACTTCCAAGATCCAGTTTAATCTATAACTAATAGTTAAGGGACTTTTTAAAACTTCTAAAAAGATAGTGATTACAAAAACATGCAACTAACCTACTAAAGTGAAATTAAGTAATAAAGAAAATAGAAAAACAATTAGTACATATAAAAAAAAAACACAAGCAAAACTAAAAGAGATCCAATTAGCTTACTTATTACTTCCTTAGCCTTTTAACAATAATTTCCTTTGGCTATTATTAATTATATGTTTGGTGCAAACATTTTCATAATGTGAGTATATTCCAAATTTTGGAAGACCAAGTCAAATATCACAATATTAATCTCAACCTAAATGAACAATCTACCAAAAAGCAACACAACATCATCATCACTATGATCCATCTAATTAAGAAACTACAACTTACTTTGCATGATTGTTGGAAACAGTCTAGAACTTATTAGTATGAATGACTATATATATATATACATATACTTGTGTTTTGATTAGCGTTGACTAAGTGATTCAAATCAAATACATGTATCGTTAGTTTTCATAATTCGATTTCTTGGGAATTTGAATGCGTAAAGACCTCATGAATATATATATATGGTAGGACAGGACACAAAGGAGAAATATTATAATGATAAACGGAAAAAAAAAAAACAATGTCGACCCAAAAAACAAATTGATCAAAGAAAAATCAATAAAAAATGGTAATAATACTATCATTAATACAATTAAAGGTGTAGGTTGTGAAATGATTAAGAAGATGTATAAACCATGTTGGTTAAGAGACATGTGATTGTATTATTAAGGGTCGCATCTTAACTACCAGCCCCCAAAAAACACGGCTTCCATTTCAGGACATGTGCTGCTCTCTCTTTACTTCTTCTTTTTATTTTTTATCAGCATGGTTTATAATATTTACATAATTACAAAACTTTGAAAACTTTTCCTAATGAAGTTTATATAGTTATATTAGTTATTGTATTTAGTTTGATGATTTTTTCTTTTATTTTATTCGTTGGACCATCATTTTGGATTTACTGCACGGTGGTCATGTGGTCAGGGGAAGAAGAAGATCAATGATAACGAGTAGTAATACATAAAACAGTTTATTAGTAGTTGTTGTACTTATGTAATCATGCATGTTCGGTAATAATTAATAATTAAATTATTAATTATGATTACTTGGTTTCTTTAATTATGTTCTTGGTCTATATATAAGAAACGAATCTTTCAGCCTGGGATACTGAAATGTGTTTGTGATCTCTTTCTCTCATATGGGCTGTTGAATTCTCCAAGTGATCATGTGCTTTGTTCTTTCGACCTTTGTTTTGAATGGTTTAAATGCATGAGTATACTGTATATGCGATTGAAATTTTTTTGGACGTAGGCTTTGCATCGAGATAAATGCTGTTTTGGACGGACCATTTCAATAGTCACGGTACCGTTGTCTTTAATTTTAAGTTCTTTGACATTACATAGGGTGGTCACAATACCTATTACGTTACTTTCTATTGCGTAAATTAAATAGAGTTTGAATGTGTAGTGTAGCGATGATGACACATATTTGATGAGAGTCATATGCGAGGTCCGAAACAAAAAAACAAAACAAGTTGTAAACAAGATATGAAGAAGTTGTATTTTGGATATTAACCATTGGTAAAATTAGAAATAGAAACTACTAATAAAAGGAGTTAGCAAGTATATACGAGTAAAATGTAACATTGTTAGTACTTTTATACAAAAATAAGTAATAACCATCTAAAAGTATATATTTTTTGGTTTTTTCTTATATTATCAATAAATCTAAATGTGATTACATTAAATAGTTATACAAAGTTTTCTAAAGTACATCTGTAAGAAATTTAATATGATATAATGCACTGCACAAAACTGGAATGACACAAGAAAAATATCTATAAAAACTTTATTAATTACATTGGACCTTAACATAAGAAAATAGTATAGAACCGAAAATATTAATTCTCTATTCAATAAAACTAAAAAAACAATATAAAAATATTAAATATTATTTTTTCCATATTAAACATCGTTTAAAAATCAATATTAAAAACTTTATTAATTACATTGGACCTTAACATAAGAAAATAGTATAGAACCGAAATATTAATTATATATTCCATAAAAACTAAAAAACAATATAAAAATATGAAATATTGATTTTCCCATATTTCTCGATGTTAATGTTTTTACACACAAATTAAAAAAATATTTAATTTTTACATAAAATTTTGAAAACACTGAAAAATAAAATAAATTTCTTTTTTTGCTAAAATCTCATTTTAAAGAATACGGAGAAAATATTTGATTATTCACATATCTTCCTCTCGTTTATTTAATTGTACTTTCCACAATCTCTATTATAGTAAAAGAGAAGTACACAAAGGATTCGGGTCGGGTTTTTTTAATTCCGGGTTATTTTTACAATTGGATACTTGATATAATTTCAATACAAATTTCAATACAGGTTTTTCAAATAAAAATATCGCACATTTAATTGTTTCCTATAACAATGCCTAATTTTGTGCTAACCAATATTATCAATATTAGAAACAAAATATTCTATGCATACAAAAAGATTGAATAACATATTGTCAACATATGTCGCTAAACATACATATACTAGATAGCTAATTTTAAAATTTACGCATATGAAAAGTTTATCTTAAAACATTGTTAAAATAGGTTTTTGTAATAAAAATTCAAAAACACACATATATATGACAATGCTATAAATGTTGATAGTTTACACACAAATATATCTTCGCTGTAGCGCGGGTCACCATCTAGTTCTTTCAAATATTAAATGAAATTCATCCGATTTCTAAACTAATAAATTAAGATATTTCAAAAAAATAGTTTTTTACCTTTTTTTTAATTTAAAAAACCAAACTTTTCTTATTGAATTATATTTATTTTCGACATTCGCGCCATCAATAAGAAATCCCAATAAATTAAATGCACAATCCAGCTACAGTGTAAATATTTTATGCTTATATATCTCAATCTCATCATATGAGAAGAAGAAGAAGAGAGAGACTAGTAGACTTGGAATCTGGACAATAAAGAAAAAATAAAAACCAATTTTCAATTTTTTATATATATATTATAAACTCCACAGATCTCCCCATTCTGTGAGATGCAGAGATAATAAACAACAACCACTGAGACCAAAACCATTAACCATTACAAATCCGAAACTGTCACACCGTTTCCTTTGTCTTCTTCTTCTTCTTCTTCTCTCTGCTTAAAAATCTTTCAATCTTTATCTTCCTTTTTCTTGTTTCTCTAAATCTTGAAAAAATCAAGAAAATTACACAACCCAAGGTTTCTTTATTTTTTTTAATATACGACTATGGGTACTGGTTGGCGAAGAGCATTTTGCACCACCGCTCCTAGAAACAGCGACGTAGCACCGCCGGATCTTGACAAGAACCATGCCGGGTATAATCTCAGCCCTAGTCCTAGCCCAAGAAGTTGCGTTAAGCTAGCGTTTCTCTCCGGTGGAAGTAACCCTTCAACTCCCCGACCGAGTTCTAGTCCTGGCTTACGTTGTCGGACGAACGATGCCGAGACTCCCACGGCGGAACATATTCCGACTCCAAGATCGGCTACGAAGAGTCCGAGACTGTCTTTGGCCGGTAGCTCTAACCCTTCTTCGCCTCGGTCGCCGTTAAAGCTTTCTCTGTTCCGGAACAGCTTCAAATTCAGAGTAAGAAACATATTGAGCAAGAAAGAAGAACTTAGATAGATTAAAAGTTATGTTTTCTGATGATTTTTGTTGTTCTTTGTTTTGCAGAGTAGTTGTGGGATATGTTTGAACAGCGTGAAAACAGGGCAAGGTACGGCGAAATATACGGCGGAGTGTTCACACGCATTTCATTTCCCTTGTATTGCCGACTACGTACGTAAACACGGCAAGCTTGTTTGTCCTGTTTGTAGTTCTGTCTGGAAAGATGCTTCTCTCCTTGCTCCTCATCGGAATACTACTGAGTCTCCCTCTCCCGTCGACGACTCTGTTCCTGTAATCCAAGAGAAGCGTGTTGTTGTTGCGTCTTCTCCTAGAGCTAAACCGAGGCTAAAGCAAAGTGAATATTCAAGATTTTACGACGATGATGAGCCTTTGCTTTCGCCGAGGTTTGTTACTATACCTGAAGCTGATGAGAATTGTGGAGGAGAAGAGGACGATGACGTGGCTCAGTTCAAGGGATTTGTGGTCAATCCAAACCCTTCTTTCGCCGTCAAAACTCATGAGATTCCACCTAGTGGTCGAGACTTTGGAAACGTGCAGGTGAGTTTGTTGCCAGAAGCTGCCGTTGTCTCTGTTGGGTGTGGTTACGAGACTCGTGCAGTGGCTCTTACGGTGAAGGCGCCACCACCTTTAGCTGCTAGAGGAGGGGTAGGTCGTAGGCTATTAGATCCGTCTCAACGTGCGCCGGTGGATCTTGTGGTTGTAGTTGACGTAGGTGGAACAATGAACGGTGCAAAACTTCATATGGTCAAACGAGCAATGAGGCTTGTGATATCATCCCTCGGCTCTGCTGATCGTCTCTCAATCGTTTCCGTCGTCACGACTGCTCCCAAGAGACTCCTCCCGCTGAAGAGAATGACGGAGAACGGGAAACGCTCCGCCGGAGCCGTGGTTGACGGGTTGCTTTGTGGTCAAGTTTCTAATACAAGCGATGCATTGAAAAAAGCGTCGAGAGTTCTTGAAGATCGTAGGGAGAGAAACCCAGTAGCGAGCATCGTACTTTTATCGGACGGTCAGGGTCAGTCGAGTAAAGTCCACACAAATCAACGGTCAACAGTTACCCATGTGGGATCAACACGTTTTGCCCACATAGAAATCCCTGTTACTGAGCATGGCTTCGGAGAGAGTGGTGGGTGTAGCAATGCCCCAGCAGAAGAAGCCTTTGGAAAATGCATAGGAGGATTACTTAGCGTAGTGGTTCAAGATCTCAGGATCCAAATCCGAGTTGGATCAGGATCTGGACCATGTGAGATCTCAGCCGTTTATCTATGTAACGGACGGCCTACGTTGGTGAGTTCTGGTTCCGGGTCAGTCCGGCTTGGGGACCTCTACGCAGGCGAGGAAAGAGAGCTTCTAGTGGAGCTTAGGGTGCCGTCAACAGCCACTAGGGCGAACCAAGTTTTGTCAGTTAGAGGTCTTTATAAAGACCCATCGACACAAGAAGTTGTGTATGGACGGGACCAATCTCTACGAGTTCCCCAAGCCGTTAGATCAACATCATCATCTCCTAGAATCGAACGGCTAAGAAGCCTCTTCATCGCAACACGGGCTGTAGCAGAGTCAAGGAGGCTAGTGGAGTACGGGGAATGCACAAGCGCACACCACTTGCTTACGTCGGCGCGTGCGTTACTAGGCCAGTCAGGAACGGCGGAGGCGGCGGAGTACGTAAAAGTCGTGGAGGCAGAGCTTGTAGAAGTACAATGGAGAGGACAACAACTAATGGAGTACCAAAACCAGCACCAGCAGCAACATATCCAACGGCGGAGAGGGAGCGAGAGAGAGACGAATACGATGATGATGCTGATGGATGAGAATGGTGAGCCGTTGACTCCAGCATCAGCGTGGAGAGCGGCTGAGAAATTGGCTAAGTTGGCTATGATGAAGAAGAGCGACTTGCACGGCTTCGAAAACGCTAGGTTTTAATAATACGTTATATTAACTTTTGTTTTACGAATAAATAAAATTTTTAGTATTCTGAGAATACAGAGGAAAATGTGAATTAAGTCAGAGAGACTCAGAGTTACATAATAGCAGGCGGCACATTACTTTTAATTTATTATTACACGTAAAGATCATTTAAGAATTGACAGTTTTGTGTTTGGCATTTTTAACAATTTCTATATATAGTTTGTAGTAACTCTACTTTCACATGGGTGATTTTTAAGTTTTTATTATGGATGTACAATTTCTTATTTCTGTTTTATCCATTATAAAAGTGCAAGTTTATATACTTAAGTAATAGTTTGTCTAGAGTAAAATAGAAAAACTATCTTTTAAATCTTTTTAGGTATATTGTCAAAGGCAACAACTATGTTGGAGAAATGAACATATTCATCAAATTTAAGCAGTTTGTGACTAAAGACCCTCGCACTTTTATTAGGCAAACATACATCTAATTTCTAATCGTCTATATATAAATGTCTGTGCTTAAGTATGCAATGAAAATAAACTACATCGAATTACAAAGTCATAGTATAGTTTATTTCAACAGTGCTACTAAAGGTTACATTCCAACTCGTAGCGATTTTTTGAACATATAAATGATAAGATAATAATGAAAGGTAAATTAGGATTTGACCGATTGAGGGAGTTGAAGTTTATCGGGGGTATATCATAATTGAAGCTGGTGGATGAATGATGACTTTGTAATCATCAACAAATAATTCCAATCTTTTATTGCAGTTGTTGGTTGTTATTATTATTATGCTATTTATAACATCGATCATCATCATTCTCATTATGCTTAAACTTCTATTATTATTAAGGAAAAAAGATTGTCACCTACCTGAAATATCGAGGAATACATGGCTACACATACCAAATATAAAAATGGATACTTAGCAACGTCAAGTATATGTATGGCATGGCGACATGTACGAAGTATATGATGTCATGTGCCCAACACCCTACACATAAAATCTCAGTTTACCGAACGATTTACTCCGGCATTGACCCAGCGTTGACTCATCAGAACCAAAAATCAAAACCGATCGGTTTAACTAACCAAAATTTATGACCCGATCCGGTTTAATTTTCTGGATCAAAATTATTGGGCCTTAATTTAACCAAATATTTTGGCTTTTTTACTCTAAAACCACAATCAAAACTCGCTTTTTAACTTTGTAAAACCTAAAAAAACTCTTCGCTTTCTCCATATCTCTTTTCACCTAGGTTTACGAGAGAAAGAAGAACTTGGTGTGTAATCGTTTGTTCAAAACGTTAACAAGTGTAATATCTTGGATTGGATTCTCGTTCAAATGAGGTAATATTTTCAATTGCATTTTGATTTGATAACATACACGTAAGGGTCTAAAGTAGTGGGGAAGTGGGGATGTTGTCGTGTGTTTACGGGGTTGATAACATATACGTAAGTTCTGTTTTTGTTTGTTTTGACTTACTTTGTTTTCTCTTTTTTCTTTTTTTTTTGTAGTGAGAAAATTTCAGTCAATTCTGACATGCACAGAGGATTGATTCATGGTATTGCTACTGAGTTACCAAACGCAGAGCATCGAGCTTGTGCTAGACACATCTACTCCAACTTGAAGAAAAATAACAAGGCAGACATGTTAAAGCCATTGTTCTGGAGAGTTGCCAGCAGCTACAGTGAAGCTGATTATAAGGAGAATTTGGATATTTTCAAGGAGTTTGACCCGCAGACTTGTCGCATTCTACTTGAGAAGGATCCAAGTACATGGTGTAGGGCATTCTTTCGGGTTGGTTGTTGTTGTGCTGATACTCACAACAATCATACTGAATCATATAATAGGACTTTGAAGATTGCAAGGAAAAAGCCATTTGTTCAGATGTTAGAGCTGATAAGGAGAGATGCTATGCAACGAGTAGCTAACAGGTCCATTCTTGCTGCAAAAGAAATTGCAAAATACACCAAAAAGGCAAGAAAAGAGCTGGAGAAATCTTGTGATGAAGCTAAATATTGTGCAATGGTTACAAGCACTGGTGGCGAGTATGAGATTGTTGAGTTTGGGATTGGATATTCTGTTGTTTTGAGTTCTCGTACTTGTGCATGTAGGAAGTGGGATTTGACTGGTATTCCATGTCGTCATGCTGTATGTGCAATTAGAGAAATGAATTTGGAGGTGGAAGACTACATCTCAGACTATTACTTGACTGAGAAATGGCAAGGAACCTATAGGCGAGGTCTAAGGCCTGTGAATGGAGCAAAATTCTGGAAAGATTCAGGCAGACCACGAATAGCTGCACCACCTTACAAACGTCCTGCAGGGAGACTTAAGGGTAAAAAAAGGATCAAAGGTCTTAATGAATCACCACGCAAGAAGAAATCTGACAAGAAAGTTGATCGGAAAGGACGAGTGGTGCACTGTGGTCTTTGTGGTGAATCAGGTCATAACTCAAGGCGATGTCCTCATGAAGTATGTGTCTATCTTTTAGTCTTTATTATTGGTTATCTTTTATACAGTTGATGTCTCATTTTTTTTTTTTGGATAGTCTACTGAGAACAGGGCAAAGAGAAGAAGACTAAATAATGCACCTCAACTGGAAGCTCAAGATCAAGCTGAAATGGAAGCAGCATTTGCAGCAATGGAAGCACCTGAAGAAGTAATGGAAGCACCTGAAGCAGCAATGGAAGCAACTGAACATGAAGTGCAAGATGTTTCTTCATCTGCACCACAGAGAAGCTTCATAAATAGTTTGCTATTTGGATGAAGGAATGATATGTTGAATGTTTTTTGGATGTTAAAATACTTGAATCGGCTTTATTTTTGTACTTCAATCGGCTTTATTTTGGTATTTAATCGGCTTTGATAGCAATATGAAACAATCCTCAATTCAGATTTTGGTGCTGCAGTTTTTTAAATTAGAATCTGAAGAAGGACACGTTTGCTTAGAAGGCACATATTCACCCTCTTTTTTTTGTTTGTTAAAACACTCACTTCCAATTATTGCACATACGTTTTAAAGTCACTGTCTTATATAAAAAAACTATTATGAAACACAAGACATATCCAAGCAAGGCACCGTCATAGCAGAGAAAACTAAAGAAACCAATTATAGATTATTTAAAAAAAAAAAGAAGAAGAGAGGACTAAAGAAACAGCACACAGTTTGTGTTTTATTGGTGATGTTGGATTCGTTACTCTGTTTTTTGTTTGTTTTTTTTTTTTTTTCTGCTTCAACTGC